AAATTTGTATCTCCTGCTCTGTAAATTGAACTTTAATAACATACAGGAGGCTGCTGCAGAGTATAGAAAGCAGGAGATAGGAAAATCCTAATTAAACATAAATTGCAATAAAGGAAGTGTTAACATTAGGTGATTCTTTAGAGGAAGTGTTTAGGAAGGCTGTGCAAGTCACATGCAGGGAGGTGTGACTAGGGCTGCATAAACAAAGTGATTTAACTTTTAGATAGCAGCGAATTGAGGAGTGAGACTGCAGGGGCATGATCTATAAACCAAAACTGGTCATTAAGCTTAACTTGCTTTGGTGACTATATTGACCCTTTAAAACATACTATATGATATAAATTGCCCCCTTTTTCTAATATATTATATAGAAAATGCTTTAATAAATAATAAAATAAAAGATACATTCAAAGTTCTCTGCAGATGCACTGTTTAGTGAACCTGCCTTCGGCTGCTTTAGAGGAAGTTATGTTTGGTACAAAACTGTCGGAGAATACAGAATTGTACAGAATATGCAGCGTGGGAAATGCAATCAAGTGACTGTTAATGGACTGACAAAATTCCATCTGGTTGCTGAGAATAATGAGATTTTGACTGTCCTCATGCACAATAATACAAAGTTAAAGCAAGTAATTTAAAACAGAGGCCAGTTCAAAGTGGGAATAACAGATTAACTTCAAAGGAAGGCCTGCCTACTGAATATACTGAAATAATTCATCTCCTTACTTAATATCTGATCATAAATTAGTGTTTTCAACATCTTCAAATTTAAAGCGATAAAGAACCGGTGATTAATTCCAGGGCAGTTAATCAGCCAGAAGGAATGTTTCGGGAAGAAAAACTGTTAAACTCTTTTAACTCACACACTTTGAGTAAATTCATAAATGATGATCACTCTAAATATGTGCTTTACAAATAACATAATTTATAGGATGCTTGTGACTGCTGCAATACATTTATCTGACAGTATTGGTATATTATTACTGCTAAAGGCCAAGGTCTGTAAAAATGACATTAGTTAAAGAAAGTACTTTAGATTTGTTTTGCCTGTAAAATGTTGATTTAACCAAAGTTAAAAGAAGACTTTTTTAGCTACTTATCCAGATATTTTGATTATATAAAGTTGCCTCTGTAAGGAGGATTTATTTTGTTTGCTAGGTCTACTGGTCAACGTTGCCTTTCAGTCAGGGGAGAACTACAAGGGGTGCAGCCAGTACAGTTACATTAAAGGGACACTCCAAGCAGTTTTGGTGTATACATCATACGCCTGCAGTCTGTTCATTTCCCTGCCATTTAGGAGTTGGTACTTTGGTTTCTATTTATGCAGGCCTATCCGCACCTTCCCTGGCTGTGATTCACACAGCCTCTATGAAAAAAAAAAAGGTTTAATGTTCAATCAGAGCTTACAGCACAGTGTGTTTACTTTAGATGTTACTGCATTTTGGTCTATAAATCACACGAGAGGCTTCTGCAAGCTCCAGCATAATATGAACACAGCAGGTGATACAACATTTTACATTAAACACATTGTGCAAGTTTAAAGATTAGCTCACTCTTTACAGGAAGTGTGTAGGGAGATTGTCAGTCATAGCCAAGGGAGGTGTGGCCAGTGATGCATAAACAAGGTGATTTAACTCATAAACAGCAGATAATTGAGCAGTGAGACTGCAGGGCCATGATCTATACATCAAAAATGCTTCATTATGCTAAATTTGTTTTGTGCTTAGATTGTTCTTTATTAGGCGCGGGCTCTGTGGGTTTCATCTATGCTTTAATAACTCCCCAACTAGCACATTAACATTAAGAGGCCTATCTGCCATAAGGCCCTTTACATTGATGTCATATTTTCGTTCCCCCTTACACTTATATTGCAGGGCTACCCGTTAATGTGCTATGTTAGCGGTGGATGCTCTCCTGGTGTGAGGTGGTGCAGATGGGATACCACTTATCACAAATGTAGAAGCAGGAATCTTGTAGTTTTGGAGACAATCATAAACCATTAAACTTTGGTTTTGTGGTTTATTATCACACCTCCAGAACCCCTCAATGGTATTATCTTCTCATAATACATGGTCGTGTTATGTGCCCTCTATGCACTGTTTTAGCATTGTCGCCATATATAGATCCAATTTTCACACTGACACTTTGGGATCCTGTTTCCAATGACACGAGATACCACAGACGGCACGTTATCACTAGTGTTTTACAATCATTGTAAACTTTTCATATTGCTAAATAATCAAACAATGCACAAAGTAACTGTTTTGATTTCAGACACATTACTGGCACTGGAAATATGTATGGGTTTATATGGAGTATAAACATGGAATATAAACATAACATTCCCTCCGTCAATACACTCGGAACGTAAGAAAAGAAGAAAATACATCAACCACAAAAGATACAAAAGAGAATAAGGTAAAGCGCTAAAATGAAAGGTTATAACCAATGGAAGTAATGTCTTCAGTTTCTTTCTGAAATGAGGCATAATCTATTTGTTCTGATGTCTAGGTACAAGTGACCGCTAGGAACTCTACACCCTAAGAATTGAATTCCTCTTCACTTGTTTTCATTAATTGTTTCACCCTTATAGACTTGTATACGGGTAAAATATTCATTTTGCCCGAATCGATCTGCCCAAATTGCATTTTGTCCATTTGGCGGACGGACGGAAAAAATGCGCTTATTAGTGTACTGCCAAGAAAAATAATAAATACACATATAGATAGAAAGATAGACAGATTGTATGTATTTTGCAGTAGACTGGTATGCGCGTTTTCTCAGCGTTTGATTCGAAGATTAAGTGAGAAAATTTAACCAGTAAGGGGGAGGGGGATGGAGGGGGGAATGAGCAGTAAATATATAAATACATTAAAAAAAAATTATATTTATACATTATATTTTTTCCCCTCACTTCTCATTTGATCTGTGAAAAAAAAAAATTGAGATTGAATGGCTGTCCCCTAACCATCAATCATTTTATTGGAATCAGTTATCGAATTTTAGTTTATTTTTGGCACCACCAACGGAATGCTGAATCACGAAACAGCTCATTAAGTCCTCATCTTGTATGTTGCGTGATTTGATCATATGACAATTCAGAGTTAAGGAATTCAAAGACTTACCAAATCGCCCAAAATCCAGATGAACTGCTTAAGGTCCTAACATGAGGAGAAGGAACTCTAAATACTTTTATGTGCAGTAGCGAACGCAGTCCACTGGGATGCAGTGCTCTGTGGACCACAGTGAAGTGTTTTAAGAATACGTCATGCTTGGGGTGAAGCATCATGAGTTTCTAATAAATGTTACATATTTTCCATGACAATCTGAGACATGGATTCAGTTTGTTATTTTTAAGAGAGTGCATTATTGAATACACTGAAGAGTAAGTTAAACATTCTCAGCGACTACAACTTGGTAAAAGGTGTCCAAGCCTCACTTAAACATATTTAAACACAGACATGTACCTCCTGAATCCCAGATCTAGAAATATTTGTCAACCCTCTTTTTACTGCTGTTTATGTGAATATTCACTGAAGATTCTGCCACAGACATGTTAGCAACATGGAGTAAGAGCTGTCATTTGCTCACTTAGGAAATGCTTGAAAGGAACGACTTATTCTTATTAAAAAATAATAATTAAACTGTAATCATCCCAAACAGCCAATATGAGTTCTCCTACACACTATATATGTACAGTGTACATATATATACCCAAGCACAAATTCTCACTTAAAGGGACACTATAGTTATAACAACTACAGCTTATTGAATTTGTTCTGGTGAGTAGAATCATTACTTTCAGGCTTTTTGCTGTAAACACTGTCTTTTCAGAGAAAACGCAGTGTTTACATTACAGCCTAGTGATAACTTCACTGGTCACTCCTCAGATGGCTGTTATAGATCCTTCCTGGGTCATGGCTGCCTAAAATGCATCCAAAATCTCCTCCCTCTGCATGCAGACGCTGTACTTTCCTCACAGAGATTCATTGATTCAATTCATCTCTATGAGGAGATGCTGATTGGCCAGGGCTGTGTTTGAATCATGCTGGCTCTGCCCCTGATCTGCCTCCTTGTCAGTCTCAGCCAATCCTATGGGGAAGCACTGTTATTGGAAAAGGCCACCACTTCTGATGTCAGCAGACTGCTTGTTTTTTTTAGGCAAACAGCATGCAGATCTACAGCTTCAGGCTTGAATACAGTTGAATACAAGATTTTGCTATATGTATGGAGGCATGAGGGGCCCAGGGGGGGCTAGATGTTGGTTTTAACACTATAGGGTCAGGAATACATGTTTGTGTCTCTGACCCTATAGTGATCCTTTAAATGCATGTTACTTGCATGTAGTTACACACAGAGCTTAGTTACTACTATAACACTTTATTTGCAAATCTCTTACAAAGTACCAGCTATTTCTAGAAACGTGTGTGTAAGTAATTTTGAAACATTCTCTATATCAGCTATAATTTGCAGTTTTGGATTGAAATCTGAAATTCACTTTTAATTCCAAACAATTGTCACTCTTGGGTCATAACCTGGGGAAAGGGAAATTATTGAAAAAAAAAAAAAAATCTGTACTGGTACTTATCTCAAGAGATGAAAAATACCCATAAGGAAAAAGCACCATGAAATGTCAGCACCAGACATAATACCAAGAATGTTGGACATAACAACAAGCTTGGTGGTTTAACATTTCTTCGACTACCAGGACTAGCGAGTCACAAACTTCACCCGGACACCAAGAACACGATTTGAAAACTTTATAGAAGATATTTATGTTATGCTTTTTACTTTAATGTATTGCCTATTTTTAAGCTTCAAACAAGGTGACCACACTTATTACATGCTGAAATCTTCTATTAAATGTGATTCATAATGAGGCATTAAAGGGCACATCACTCGAGTCTGTGAGCTTTGTCAAATTTAGGAAAGGGATGGGGGTTGGACATTTTATTTGAGTTTTACGATTATTATTTTTTCAATTCTTTATTTTTGCAGTGCATAGCTGACAGGCAAATATATAGAAACATTTCACAGAATGACTTACAACAATACGTGAATTCTGCAGCAATATGAAATATCAGGAGTGAACTGCACAGTTTTTTTTCTCTTTGAAGAGACAAGAGGAGTATTATAACAAATGACAGTAACACAGGTCTAACATTATGAACAATAACGCAAAGTACATGCTAAAAAAGATGGTGGCACTGAGAGTGATTCAAGAGGTAAGGACCACTGGGTAAATTAGAACATTGCAGGTAGGATAGGAGCGCTCAAGGTTAGTAGAGAAGCGTAGCTAGAGGAAACCATAGGTGCATTATCAGCAGGTTAAGCTGAAGTGTCATCTAACCGATTGCCAAGGGTTGATCGTTCCAGCATTTCCCGCTGACAGTATCCCCTCTGAGACCTTCTCTCAGACAAGCTCCCAACCAGTCCAGAGAAATGGAAGCAGCATGTACACCCACCGGAACTCGCAGCTGCAGTCTTCCGCACACCAGGTAAATAGGGTAGGGAGTGCCCGGGACAGGCTGATCACGCTGGATGCGGAATGATTGACATCCCTGCTGTCGGATCATATGGTAGAGAGTATGCGGTTTGGAGCATTGGTGGGCAGCCGTTGTTTTCTGCACCCACCTTCCCAGGGCGCCTCTTTGGACACCTGCGTGGGGAGCCAATGTCTGCGATTGCGTTCCATAGAACGGCTTGGAGGTGTCGCAATCTGGAGTGCAAGCTCCGCCGAAAAGGCCTCATAGACTAGATCAAAGGCCACAAGTAGTGGCTCCTTGTGTGTGGTTGACTGTGGGAAGGTGTCCTCCACAGCAGGCTCAGTCAGGGAAGCCATTTTAACTCCCAGGCCTGAACTCCCCAGTCTATCAGTTAACTGCAGACCTTGGCAATATAATCACTGCAAGTCACCAGTGGGACCGGGATATCCACACTGGTCCAAAGAGTGGGGGTGGGGGGGAAGGGGAGAAAAGGGCAACAGGCTCCAGCTGAGTGCAGCTGCAGGTCGCAGTAAAGTCCTGACCGGCTTTGCCAGTTGCAGGCAGTGGCAAGTCAAATCATCAGCAGGGAGTACCACAGGGTTAGGGACAAGCGTTTTAGCAAAAATAAAAGCAATTAAGGCCAATAACAGGCTTAATAAGTGGGTTTCCCTGAGGAGCTCAAGCACCATGTGCCTGTCTCGGTAAGCAGTCAGGCCCTGCCTCCCTTTACTATTATTTTATATAGGTTTGTTCATTTTACTTTCAGGACTTTCTTTGGCTGTATCCGTTTAACTATACTATTTGCATTTCATTAAAAATCTCCATGTATTACCAAACAGATAGTTTTGATGCTGCCTTGCATCACGAATACGATAAAATCTTGAAGTAGTCTGACCAATATTGCATACACACAATCAATATAATCACAGATTGCCAAAGATAATGGAGTCTTATTTGCATGGCAGTAGCATGGCGCCACCTAGTGTCTACATATGTAAATGATAAAGATCGCAAATTTCAACTGGTTGACAGTAGGCTAACAAGTGGAGAGAACAAATTAAATATAATGCACGAGTAGGAAATAAGTGAATGTAGTGGAGAAAAAGGGAAAAAAATAACAAATTCAAAGGGCAGAATCATATTTTGTACTTTATTGTGCACATGTGCAAAAATATTGTAAAGGTTGAAATAATTCAGAGCTATTTGTTTCATAGTAATTGGGTTCAATGGCAGGTGAACTGGCACTTTAGGTAAAATCACTATTCCTTGCAATTGTCAACAGCAGTTAAACATCTTCAAAAACAAACACACCCAACTGTATGCATTAAGTACCTTTTGTTCTTATGTAAAGTGCGAGGCGTACTTGTTAGAACAGATTATTACATTCTTCAATGATTTAGTAGGAATCACTCAGAGAAGAAGGAACACTGTGCACCAATATTATTCAAGGTAATAACGGAGAACTTGTGCCAAAAGGACCAGAAATCCCATGTTGAGAGGTAGGTTACATATGCTAGTGTCCCAAATAAAAGCCACAGCTCAATTCATTTTTTTTTTTTTTTACACCTAGTTAGCTATACAAATAGAGGAGATTTTGTTTTTATAGAATTATCTCTATACATACATTCAGCTTTTACAAAGCACAAAAAGTAGATGATATAAATGCACGTATGTGCAAGAAAGTACAAAAGAACATTTATTCACAGTCATTGGATTCAAATGCTGGTGATACGAATTGTACATTAGTGATCAGGTTTCACATTTATCAGTAGTTTAATCTATGCATCAATTTATTAGCATACGTGGGGCGTGAATGAGATAAAAGATACATTTTATCTAGAATTGATATATAGTAAAACAATACAAAATGTTCACTACAGACCAAACAAATAAGGTCATACTACACATTTTCTTGTATACATAATTTATGCCAAGGTGTGAAAAATACCTACATTTTGAAAGACCACTTTTTTGGATGCTGGAAAGTGACTTCCTTTGTAACATTGTAGCTGTAAATGTTCGGTCAGATCACCCACCTGAGGCTGAAGTTGTATTGGTAATATAAAAAGGAACTGAGGAACACAAATTGTTCAGTTTAACCAGAACTTGCAATCTAATTCCTTAATAAGAACAGCAGACCGCATGCCAGTAATCGTGCCTGTAATCTTCTAGTAGTAGACACTATGAAAGAAATGGATGATACCTCCAATCTGATTTAGAAACGTAAACGTCACACATGTCAGCTGGATAAGTACGGTATGGGCCATTGTGCAGGATACCCCGATACCGCTGGGCAATAATGCAGGTTAATTCTTGCAAGAAATGCACTGGGAAGGGACAGGATAATTGGCCAATCTGTGTAAGTTAATAATTAGCACACAAAAAAAAGAAAATATGTTAATCTGCCCCTTAAAAAAAAAAAAGTTTGTTTAGGAAGTCTGGACACATGATTTCTTTTAGTATTCAGTTTTGGTAATTCACATACTGTATTGTATCAGCGTCTCACATTTCTATTTTTCCTTGAATAACATTCGTCACAATCACACTCTGTTAAACTATACATCAGATTTCTTTTAGTTGTCACTGACTAAATAAGTTTAGCAGGTTTGATGCCAGAGGCAAGACCGACCTACCGCAGCTGTGCACACCAATATAAAAATCAATGTGTTGACTAGAGACATAACAGCTCACCTTCTGCTTATAAAAACCTTCTAGGGACTATTGATACATTGTGCGAATTTGTTGATATTTTGGTGGTGAACCTAGGGTAGACAATGTTCTAACTCTTCAAAGATTTATATAAAAATGTGCTTTCCTGATTTCCGAAGCAGCTACCAAAATAACAAAAAAAAAGGCAATGTAATGGAAAAAGTTATTTTACCTCAACAGAGTTTCATAATCTATATACCAAACTAACTTCCCAGGTGTGGGATTCACCCCATGAATAGGCCACTTTTTGGGGGTTTTCTCTGCTCTACTGATAAGAGTTAGAATTTCATGCTTTCCTTTCCCCAATACCAAAATAGCAACTTTCTGAGCTTTATTGATGAGTGGGAGACTAAGACTCATCCTCTGGTGAGGTTTTTGTGGACTTTCTGTAAGCAACACCGTAGACCTTCCATAAATACCATCTTCCTTCCCTGGAAAAATGGAAGCTGTGTGGCCATCGTTGCCCAGGCCTAGAAGCACAAAATCAAAGCTGGCATTGCCTACTAGAGCAAAAATATCTTCTGCGTATGTTTGGTTGCCCATGTCTTCTATGTCACAGAGGCGCTGGTTCCTTTGAACTGGCATTGGGTGAATATTTACGTATGGAATTCGCACATGCTGAAGGAGATGTTTTTCAATGTTGCCAAAATTAGAGTCTGACTCAGTGAAGGGTACACATCGTTCATCTACCAACCATAAGTGAGTATGCTTCCATGGGAAACCATGATGATGTCTGGACAACCTCTGAAACAAAGCTAAAGGACTAGATCCACCAGACAGCGCTAAATGGAAGACCCCTGAACGTTTTATGGACTCTTCAGCTGCATTCTGAATATCTCGTCCTAGAGTCTGTATTAGTGACTCAGCCCAGTCAGACACCATAGAATTACCAAGAAAAGAAGATTGGGTAGAGGAAAACACATTAATCTTTGGTGCCACACTCAACACTTCCAGATTCTCATCAGTTACAAACCTTAAACTCCCATCTTCAATCACAAAATCTAGCAACTGCTCATTGCCTGTACCTCCAGGATATACCCGGGGCGACTCATGCTCCAGACTCTCCAGAAGTGGAGTCCAGAAACTCCAGGATGCCAGCAGATTTTTGGTTGTGATGAAGGAGTCCTTTTTCCCTCTATATATATTGGATATTAGCACAGAGTAGGCATCTTTCTCTACAATGGGGTGGTACACGTAATAATCAGACAGAGGTTGTCCAAACACCTGGATCGAGGGGAGCTCTGATGCTCTTTGCCATTTGCTGGGGTTAACATTAGGTTTGAAAAGTCCCTGACTGACTAGGATAGCAGGGGAGCCTATTTCACCGTGTCCAATATGGAAAATAATCTGTTTGGGTTTACACGAGTTTCTTAGAGGATCCCGATTTGATTGTTTTTGTACACAGAAGGCATTGTCTTTGAAAACCACACGCACAAATGCAGTCCTCTCGTCCAGAGCCTTGCCTGATAACAGGAGAAACGGGACGCCTTCCCATCGCACATTATCAACATGGACCAGCACAGCTGTAAAGAAGAAAGGTTTGATTAAGTATTACACAACACAAATTCATTAGTAGTTTGATAATTATTAGATGAAAAATGTATTTTCTATAAACCTACATTACACACAAACACACAAAACACACACAAAGAGTGAGTCAGCACATTCTATATATCACGGCCACGTAATAATACCTATGAAAAAATGTGGGTTAGTCGGTTAGTCACATGTTACAGCTATAAAAGGTTTGTAGCCTTCCAGAAATCGAGAACTTTGACAGAGTTGTAAATGTAAGGGTTTTTTATGGCCATAACATATGCCCACAATTTTTATCTTAGGTGGTTTTACTGAGCTTTTATACCTATAACCTGTTTAATATGGAGTGTGCTGATCCCTCTATCAGGTCAATTAACAAAAATATAGTAAAACATGCATATCAAAACAAAATAAAAAAAATGTATGCTCGAAGTCACTTAAAAGGTTCGTAATATTTACTATCATGGCTCTCATGCTGACTTCTTAATTCAGCTAAATCAGCAGATAGAATTTCTTGGCATAATTGCAAATTTTGCATATCAGAGCAAAAAACAAAAAACAAAAAACATATTCAGATTAGTCAAGAAAAAAAAAAAAAAAAGGCAAGAAATAAGATAAAAAGAACAACAGACATTCACGTTTCAGCATCACTGACTACTGGGAAGAGCAATCAGTTCTTTCACAAGTTTTATTTTTGTTTTTTAAAGTGGCAAGTTATACAATCACATTGTATAGCAAGGTGGTAGGGCTGAATATATAATCTCTTCTGCTTACACACCTTTCATTGAGCCAAGATATAAATATAGAAAATCCACAATCTAAGTATTTAAATATTAATTTTCAAGTTTTTTTTCCATTTTTATTTTAATATACCATCATTTTTCTCTAAGATTTATTATACAAAGAGGGAGACTGTAGGGTTTATTATTGGGCAGGGTGGCCCAGAGGTTGGGGACCCTGAGCCACAGGGAGGGAATGTCACAATACCTGCCCCTCTTCATCCCCTTCTGTATTCCCGTTCTCAGGCTGTACGTAGTCGCTGCATCAATACTGATGCTGAATCGGATTCCACAAATGACACAGGCATCACTTGCCTAATTTTTTTCAGGGTTTTTTTGGGCTGTTGCGACTGGACTAGCTAATCAGTAAATATTATTTTGGAACATTGCAAAAAAAAAAAATTTTTTTAAAAAGTGTGCCTCTAATGTATGGATTTCCTATAGCTGTGGAAGTAGCTGTAATGGAGGCAGGGTGTTCTAAAGCAGTTTGACTACTTACATTGTGGGTTCACTATAATCACTACAGCTATGGTTTTTGTAAGACAATCAACACATCAATTTGCTGTGCCCATGTAAATGAATCTCTGTTTCAGCAAAGCAAGAGCCAGCCACTAGGTGGCACTACATTCCTCCAACTGCTCCTCTTAAAACCTTTGGTGTAGGTAGCAATCGATATGTATCCATTCATGCAATCCGAACGTTATTTTCTTCCTCGAGAGTGGTCATACTTATATCATAGTGTATATGCACAAAACAAAATCAATAAAATAGTAAGCAGGAGAGATAGCGTGTTATTTTGTTGACCAAACAAGTTATGGAATAAATAGAAGCGCTGCCAATTTTTGGGTTCCAAATAAAAATTAAATAAAAATGTGCTAAAATAATTAAACTGCAGTTAATATTTAATATGTTGCTGCTGGCAAGCAGCCCTGAGGATTTTCACAAGTAGCGGACGTCCACAGCACACTCACCATGATTGAACATTTGGAGCCGTGTCTGTGGCATGCTAATTAACATGTTGAACGTTACAAAATTCAAAACAAACATTCTATACGAGTAACAGGTAATTTAACATTACCAACAGATTAGCTCACTCACCAGCAAAGGTCTTTGTATTGGTGAAAAAATTTGGCTTTGTCTCGATCTCCTCCTTCACCTGTGCTAGGTAATCCTGATATTGGCCGGCCACCGCACTGCCCAGTTCGAGTTTGTGTAAAGAATCCAGTAGACTGAGCTTTGCTCTGAGGATATCTTCCGAGCTGCTGAGGTTGCGTGGAACTTCCATGGCAACAGATGCAAGTATTTCCGTTAGGTGGTTTTGGATGACATCACGAATAACACCGTATTCCTCATAGAAACTAATCCGACCTGATAATAAATGCAATATGATATAACAACATGTTATTTATCCCATCATTAAGAAATGCACACACCTTACCGGCAAGGTGTGCCCACGTACCTTACCTTAAAATGCCCACACACCACACAGGCCAAGGATGCCCTTACACCTTATTGGCAAGGGGTGCCCATACGCTTTTTTTTTCTTCCCGTATGTTATTTTGAGTTTGCACCCCATTCATAAATTTATTTGAATTAAGTTTTCATTTAAATGTGGGATTTCTTGTTACCTTTTGCATCCAGTGTCTCTTTCATCACAATCTCTACTCTCTCCACATGATGTCGGTTCCAGATTGGATCAAGATGCTTCAGGTTGCTGAGCCGGAATGGAAGAATCTGTTCAACCGTCTGAAAGTAGACCATAAAGAGTCAATAAAAAATGTCGTAGTATTGAAATATACCAATACATTGGGAAACAAATTATACATTTCATTATACTGTATGAATGCATGTTTTAAAAAGTATCAAATAATTAGACAATTTAAAGGCAAAAGCAGCTATGCATCTCTCTGTAGCTGTTCCTTATTCATCTTTATGGACAATTTATGCCTTCTTTTGGATTTTAAACTACATGTGGAGTTGCATTTCACAAATGTAAACATGCTACTGATGTATGATAATTTGAAACTCCCATGAATCACAGACAGAGTTAGAGAAAATGGTATAAAACTACAGATACACAGCGTTATGACCTGCACACATCAGCATAAAATCTGAGACTAGCAGTAAAGGTTTAGAGAACATGGCGCTTTTAACAGACAGCCACTAAAGGTATTTCTTTGCATTCTCACGCAGTCTAACTTTGTTAAACGACATCTTTGCATGAGTACATCCGGCGCCTTTAAAATCCTTATAGGAAATCATTGATTCAATGCTTTCCTTTAGGGGAGGTTCAATGTACGCAGCCTTCACTGCACATGAGGTTCTAGCATCGTTGTGATATCGAGGAAAGAAGCAGACCGAGGGACCTAGATGCTGGAAAGAGGTAAGTGTTCAAAGGGATTTTAAACTTTTATTATTTTTTTTTACTGGGTGTGGGGGGCCAAAATACAGTTCTGTGTTCCTAAAGCTATAGTGTTTCTTTAAAAAGATGCATTTTATCACTGATATATTGGATAAGATTTGCAGTAATTCATATACACCAAGCATGTCAAACTCGCGGCCCACAATGAATATATTTGCGGTCTGGCAAGCCGCGAGTTTGCCATGATTACTACAGTCAGTTACAACTAACCAGTTCTGGGTTCTAAGGGTTGAAAAATGTTGCAACAAGATTCCGACTTACCTGTTTTCCAAGATAATGATCTACTCGGTAGATCTCTTCCTCCTGGAAATAGGTTTGAAGCTCAGCGGCCAATGACTTTGCGGATTCATAGTCATGTCCGAAGGGTTTCTCTAGCACCACGCGAAGCCAAGCTCCAGGAAGTGGCCTACAGCTGGCATTGATGTTCTTAGCAATATCGGCATAGGCAAAAGGTGGCACAGAGAGGTAAAACAGTCTCCCGGCTTCATGTAGCCCCTCATCGGCCAGCGATTTCTGGATATCCAGGTGAAGTGCTGTGTAATTCTCTGCAGTTTTCAGCTGCCTGTAACGACTAAGCTTCAAAAACTGGTCCTTTAACAAGACACATCTGTCTGGGGTGATGTCCACAGGACAGCTGAGAGACTTCAGCACATTGAACATTAATTCTGAACCTTTCTCTGGAGGGGTCAATGCAGCTCCATGAAAGCTGAAGCTGTGCCTTCTAGAAACTTCATTGACGTAAAGCTGGAAAAATCCCTGCCATAAGTATTTTTTAGCTAAATCCCCTGTAGCCCCCAGAAGAACAATAGATATGTGCCCCTTTCCTCCAGCGCAGAGAACAACAGCAGTGCTAAAAAACAGGCAGCAGCAAAGAGCTCTTAGCAGCATTGTGATGGTGATCTACAACCTAGGAAGAAAAATAAAATATGTATATAAATAATTCTGCTCTTCAAAGTCAACATGTAACTCTGTGTAAAGGAGCAGTCACTCACATTAAATTTCTAGCATCTGTTCACAGAAGAGGATCTATAAGTACCAGGCACCAGCATAATACACAGGAAGTAACAATGTTTCCAACAACTCAGTCTTTCTCAAATCGACTTGTAACACTTTGATAACCTAGTGGGTGTTGCTGAGCTATGCAGGGTTTAGCTCATTGGCTAAGAGTGATCAGCTGACACCGCAGCTAGCCAACAGCAGCTCCGTGTAGGAACTGACTGGCGCTCTGCAAATACTTACAAGGAGAGGGTGCCATGCATAGGGGGCTCTCTAATTGGCCGGTCTAGCTGACCGCCTAAGGCCTTGCGGCTGGATAACTCACATAACTTAAGAGCAGGAACTGTAGCATGTGGTGGCTCACCATTAGCTGTTGCAAGGAGCCTCTCCTCGCACTGTTGCAGATTCGAGGAATGGAAAGGGAGCAGTAGCATCGGTGCCAAGCATCAGATAATATTGCAGGTGGTCCCCAAGGAATAATGCATCGCCTGACCCAATTGTTGAAAGCCTGGGTGTAAGTATTATCTGTGAAGGAGCTGCTCTCTTCTTGGTGATGTAGCTCTCTGTTTTCGGTAGTACTGGATCACCAGTGTCAGTGACCCAACAATTTATAGTGCTGGGGAGATGGAGCTAAGGGGTGAAAGGTAGATGGAGCTTAGTGGGAGAGAAGGAGATAAAGCTGAGGGATGAGAGGGGAATGGAGTGGAGTGGTGACAGAGAAGCAGAGGCTAAGGGTAGCAGAGCCATCATCAGGAGGGTACAGCCCATAACCGGTTAAGGGAACCAGCCATTCTTTGGTGTTCGCAAGGGGCCCTGCAGTGCTAGGTGGTCCAATTTGGCCCTGGACCAAATTGCAGAATCCTGTGATGGCACGGGCACTTTACAAGGTACAGATTCTAAACATGCACGGCCCTCTGGCAGGAAGTGTTTTACAATCTATTCCTCCCAGTGGTCAGACGAGGCTATGCAGAAAGACAGAAACTGCCCATCACAGGCCCCTAAGTACAACCCAAAGTAGCTACTGGATACCCAGTGGACCACAGGGAAGCCACCCTCCTGGCAATAGGTAATCAGAAAGCAGGCAGACTAAAACTTCTTAAATGTCAATATTTGCGTATGTACGTGTCTCTGTCAGTGCCCGTGTATATGTGTCTGCTAATGTAGGAGTCTGTTTGTGTGCCAGGCAGTGGGTGTGTGTATCCCCAAGAGTGTGTCTGGAATGTATGTGTGTGCATTTATGTATCTAGAAGCATGTGTGTGAGTATGTGTGGGATGGTGGAGGCTTCAAAGGGGACATAAGCGTTAGGACGGCAGCCCTGCAGGGTGCACTGAGAGTCAAGGCAGCAGGTTATATGGAGTGATATGCCAGCACCAGCTGGCTGGAAACTGTGTCACATGCAGAGGGGAAACAGGAAGAAGTAGATCCCAGGGACACAGGCCATTTAATTTAATTATTGCTTGCATTATTTGATAATGGGTGTCGGTGGGGGCCTCTTGTTCAAATGTTGCCAAATGTCAATTCTGTGCATGCACAGTACACGCTGGCAACAGACATGATAATCTACTCCTTTCCAGACAGCACCTGCAAGGGTAAGATAGTTTTCACGTCCCTCTATCCTCCCTCGATTAATTGAATTGGTTTTTGCTGTAGAAATTAAAATCCTCCTCAGGCTCAGATTTTGTGCATGTGCCATGGGCCGGCAAAACGGTCCAATCACAGGTCTTATGAGAAGCCTGTGATTAAACCATGGGAGGTCCCCTGTGTCGCCAGGAGGGGGTGTGGAAGTCAGGGCTGGGAGCTTCACCCGGTGCTGGATTTCTGGTAAGTAAAATGCTAGAAACTAATTCATAGTGCCCAAAAGGTTGGAGAAACCCTTTACATATTTTAAAGCAGACAACATGAAAAACTTAATACAAATTGCAAAAAGTTTTAATATTTTGACAGTGCACAGAAAAGTTTACGCATTAAAACTGATAGACCCACATTAAAGTTCAATGCCGCCTTGAACATTTTGTAGTCAGTTATATCAGGGGTCAAGACTTGAGGGAAAAAGTGTGGTTACTCAGCCAAGATTCACCTACCCCCAAATAAAATGATACACTTGTATGAAGGGGTGACAGTGTGTGGGGGCCAAAATTGTACGGAGGGGGTGTCAGTGTGTGTGTGGGGGCTGTGACAGGGTGTGCGTGAGGGGGCTGTGACAGGGTGGGGATGGCTGTGAAAAGGTGAGGGGCTGAGAGGTGGGTAGGGGGGCTATATGGTGGGTAGGGGGCTGTGAGTGGGTAGGGGGGTTGCAAGGTGGGTATGGGGTTGTAAGGTGAGTAGGGGGCTAAGTAGGTAGGGGTTCTGTAAGGCGGGTAGGGGGGCTCACTGAAACACACTCATTCACTGACAGACACACACACACAGATTATTTTATTTTATTTTAATTTAAATCCACCCAGCCTCCCTACCTTTGGGAGTGCTGGATGGATTTTTTACCTGGAGTCCACTGGGACTGCTGGCTGGGCAGGAAGGCAGACAGGCGGTCTGCTGAGTTCCAGTCGTCATATTCCGGCTCCCGGCATCACTCTGCGGCACGTAGAGGGAGCTGAGCAGAGAGAGCTCACAAAGCAGCGCTCCCTCGCCGCCCGCCTGGAGTTCAACCGGCCGCCTACCCCGAGGCTAACAAGGCAAATTCCTTGTTTCCCTCGCGGGCAAACAAGTCCTTCAGGACTACTAAAAAAGTGCAGGAATGCCGTTCCCACGCGAGCCCTGATTTATACGATTATTTGTATTGGTTAAATATTTAGATTTTCTGACAGCTGAAAATTATTTTTGCATATAATCACCCTGTATTACAACACAACTTTATTTTTCTAATTTTCATGTTCTCTCTTTGAATGTGCCTCTGTGTAATTGTGTATGTATATATATATATATATATATATATATATATATATATATATATATATATATATATATATATATATATATATATATATAAAAAAATACACCTGCATTCATACGCCGACACTAAAGAACACACACCCTTGAAATCACACACACACTCCATGTAAAAACATTCAAAACACACAACACACTACATACAAATACACTCCTGCATTCAAATGCCAACACTACACACAAACATCTACTCCATACAAAACATTCCTATGTTCAAACATTCCGTTTACTGCACAACCACAAACAGATACACACACACACACACACACACACACTTACCTCTTCCTGAAAACACAGTCAGTGATATTGTATGAAGACCTACTCGCTCCGACTACAGGTAAAATCCCTGATGCATGTATGAAGCAGGCAGCCTAAGCTAGTGCTCCATTGAATAAATCAGTTCAGTGATCTTGAACTGTTAATTATTACACAAGACACCTTGCGCAAGAAGGCTAGTTCCCGGCACAGGGATTTGAGATATTCTAACTGTGCATGCAGAGATCAGCCTTCAGGATTACAATCTTAAAAAAACAAAACAAAGACAAAGTAAATACAACCACACAATACAGGTTTCTTTCTCAGAGTTTTCTTCAACACACAAAAGAACAAAAAATGGCACAGTCAGAGTAACATTCATGCTGAAACAACAGCAGCATTAATATATATATATATATATATATATATATATATATATATATATATATATATATATATATATATATATATATATATATATATATATATATATAATATTCACGCAAACCCCATACTAATAATGGTCTGAATTTACTTTCATTCTTAGTTTGGCCAACATTTGGCATGATAATGTATTTTTAGATGTAATAACGAAAGTGAGAAGAAATTAGACAATATAAAGAATATTCACAATAGCCTAAACTGTATGAAATGGAAAGCAAAATTAAGGCTCAGATTATCCAAGTTTTGCAGGGTCGAAGTAGGGATATAAAGTGACCCTGTAAAACGTTATCTACCTACCTTAGGATGTATTACATTAGCAGGTCATTAAAAAAAAATGTAAATACTTAGAAAAATTATTTCTCCAATGTGAAACAGTTCACTAATAGGACTAAAAAAAAAAAAAAGGACAGAACTACTGTATTTTAAGAAGACATTAGAAAAAGCATTGATTCACTATTACATCCAATGTCCTGACTTCTCGCAAGACGTGAAAGTGGCATTATTAGCCATCAGGTCAATTATTTTTTTATTGCCTTATTTTAGATCAACAACATACAAAGATGTTTTCTAAAGGTTGAACTCTATGGACTATCTTTACTTAACCTAGGTTACTATGTAATGGATTTCAACACTGATTAAAGCCTGTTGTAGTGGTTATAGTGCCAGGCGTCCCAGAGCACTACCCCCCGGGCACCTCCAGCACAACCCTCTCTTCCGTAAAGCAGAAGTTACCTTTATATATTAATTTCTTCACTGAGTGAATAGAATTAATTCATCACCAAATATATTCAGACCAAAAACAAATTAAATTGATGTCACTAATGCAGACATAGAGACTTCATCTTTAGAGATATTATCAGGGGGACCATACCTACGGTCCCCAGGTGACTGTCCAACCATTTGTAAAACCCACATAAATACTTATAGTGGGACTGAGCCAGGAGATTACATGACTTCTCACAACTCTAGCGATATTAGCAGGAGAGTCCCTTTTTTTGGTCCAGCCCCTCCGTCCCGATTTTCTCCTTTGGAATCCTACATCCAGTGACACCAGGGAACGGTCCCCAAAGCAGCAAAGACTGAGCGCATCAGCAGGCGCGCTGGCAACGTGCGCATCAGCAGACGCGCTGGCAACGTGCGCATCAGCAGACGCACTTGTAATGTGCAGACCAATGTTTCAGTGACGCTATGGATTTAGACTAGAAAAATGTTCACTTTCGCTTTTTCCTGCCTATAAATATAGCAATCTATTCTGAAAAGGACATTTCTACTAAAAAATTTTTTTTAGGAATTTAGGAAAATACTTTTTATAACGATTTAATCAATACAAACATATTAGTGACCACGTTACAGAATACTTTGATAAATATCCCCTTTTATGGTTATGATAAAAATAAAAAAATAAACTTATTGTTGGATTAGGGGTGGGAGGGAGTTATTTGCAAGGTGAATTCAACTTGTACAATGAGGAAAAACAATGCTCTGCTATATAAAGAGAAACAATGTTACACACCTATTAAATCAAACGGTATCAAAACCGATCCCATAAACAAAGGTAGCAACAAATTCACCATAGCAGTTAGGGAGATAAAAATACCCAAACAAATAAAAAACAACAATTTAACATGACTTTCTAACCTAAATAAATACATATCAATGATATTCATAGCTTGGCCCCAAATTTACTTTTAAAACATGTTTAAACCATTTAAGTGCATTCAGCAGTTTGGCTCATGGCAGTAGCAGCAGATAATTCTTGGGATTTGTAAGATACATCACATGTGGCTCTGCAGCATAGCACTCCCTCCCACACTGCAATGCTGAGAGAGCAAATGGTTTCACTTTTCACTCAGATAATTCATTGCTGCAGGAGATGTCAATTTTATCGAGAGTTAAGGGAGAGTAAGCAAGGAATTCACTATTGCCCTTGGTATATTATCCAGCAGCATAGATATAAACTGCTGCGCTGTGAATGTTATTCAATATTTAGGGTAGTCTGACCGATCTATTCGCTTTAACTTAATGAATTTATTAGTATGTCCATTATACAGCGCTGCAGCATATGTTGGCCAGCAAAAAAAAAAAAAAAAAATGCAATAATTGTGTATCCAATTTTAACTGCTGCAGCCAAATCAGCTGGAAGGATCATTCTAAGCACCATAACAACTTTGTGTTATTGCACTGTTTATGGTGTATAGAGCACCCAACACCCACGATCATTTCTATGCGCCTTATAGGTACAGCAAAGTCTTTAAAAAAAAAAAAATAATAATTTTTTTTATTTTTAAATGCTGCAGCTATAAGCCAGCCCCCGGCTCAGACACGGCAAAGGAGCAGTTTTTTAAATTTTCTGTCTGTTATGCCAGTTTTGACCCAGTGATAATATAAGAAAGATCTCTCGCTCCTCCACCAAGGAGGAGTGCTGTGGATTTAGAGTCGTTGAGTGGGAATGGGAAACAATAATTGGATTATTAAAGTCAGAAAAATGTTCTGTATATGTTTGCGTAGAAGTCAAGCATCATATTTTAGTGATGTAATATAAGTTTAGGCCCACATTTGCCCAGCTTCAAAATAATGTATCGACTTATACTTCTGCAGATAGAGTAGATTATATACAGTACAAATATATTAGGATTACTTTTTACAATTTAAGGAGTTGGAGGTACTATAAATTAAGAAAATGTTGTGTACCAAATCTATCACAGCACACGGTTTATTCCACAAAACAGTGTATAAAGTGACTCATGGTATGGCTTCTATCAGTTTATAGAGCTGTTACACTAATCCTACACAGTAAAACGATAAGTCCAGAAAGACAGCCTTTTCTGATATAGCAGCATTAAGAGATAGATATATATATATATATATATATATATATATATATATATTTATTTATTTTTTATTTACTTTATTTTGTATACTTCTGTTGTATTAAACTGGGGGTTGCATTAAATTCATACCTTGTGTACCTCGTGTGACAGCGTTTAGTCTTAAGGAATAAATATTGGAAGATATTTGTATGTGGGTCTAATATTTTTTTGGCACAAGTGTGTGGTGTGAATAACATAACGCAGTTACCTTAGAATCTCCGGCATCATTAGGGTTGCTAAATCCTGTGTTCCGTAACATATATACATAACGATTGGCAGTATGTACAATTCAAAAGCTGCCGGAGGGAAATCATATAATTTATCCATAAGGTATCCAGCAGCATGTGAATTCTACATACAGCAGGGCAGTACCTCCCATGTATATAGGAAACGTGTCCAGGAAAACTGTTGGATCAGGGAATCCTAGGCACCCTCTCACATATTTTCTAATGAACTCTGCTTATTGGGTGACCTAATTGCACTCTGTGATGTATATGGTCTTCAAATGCTAACAGTAGTATCATCACATGAATCACTGGTACATGGAAAAGAGACATTAGTCTATAGCAGTTGCTGCAAACCTGTAGAAATGCAAGCTGTTGTGGACTACATTTCCCTTGATGCTCTGCAGCCACACAGTAACCTCAGGTCTATAGTTTTTATAAAATTACTACTTCTTAATGAATAGATATTTGCAGTGAGGCAAACCTGCCTTTAATCTATAAATATGACGATTGCACAATTTATTAACATTACCAGATCTATTGACCTCTGCCCCATACACACACAGCCCTGAAATCCCCCGGTTACACAAGGATTCTACACAAATTCCATAGAACTCTCTGTTTCACAACCGCTAGTTATCTTGTATCCAGTAAATATATTGGGGAGCAAACCTGCAATCAGAGCGCCCTCTACAGTTCGAATTTTCTGACGGGCGGGACGCAACGTCCACTCAGTTCATTCGACCACGAAGCGAAACAGTAGGACACCTTCTGCCCTCTAATTGGCTGGTAGGCAAACCTTACTCTTCCTTATCATGTGACGCGGAAGTGACTGTGCTCCAAAGTTGTGCGGGAGGGCGGAAGTAAAAATGTGTGAGTCCCTTAACAAAGTGGGTGGTGCTAAATTAAGGGTATAGTTATTTTTGTACAGAGGTTCACAACGTGTGGAAATACATTGCTAGGTAATTTAGAAATCTGTTATTACTTGCCCTAATATGTTGTTAATATTAAGTAATATAATTTAAAGTAAGTGGAAGACTTGTAATAGCAGTAAAACACCATAAATACATTTTTAAAAAATCAGCTGAAAAGGGATTTTTAAAACATTTTTTCATAAAGTTAGATATGTATGGAAAACTGCATTTTTTTGGCACAGTAATTTCACTACAATTCCTCTGCTATCAGAAGTGCACATATTATAATGTATGTAATTCTCTGCCTCATGTATGTCCACAGAAATTGCTAAGGTGTAATAATTACTTTCTATTTATTTTGTATTTCAACCAATGTTGGGCATAAAAAACTGATGGAAAGTGATTTCTTCCAGTGATACAGATTAGGTTTCCATGACAATTCCTTATTAATTTGATCTGTCTTTAGATGTGTTTTAGCGTTAATTTTACAATTTAAATAAAATTTGCCGTAATTAGTCCGTAGATTCGTGATACAATATAAATAATGGAGACTTATTTGTATATTGTTTAAAAAAAAAATCTTTACATTTTATTTTATTCCATTATTCCAAAGAACCCCATTTGTAGCTGGTTCTAATGTGTGTTCTTACGAGATTATTGTATGGAATCTTTTATTTGATTCTCTGCAGTGTCAGAGGGGGATGATCCAACATGGAGTCAGCCCAACGTCTTATATAATCTACAGAACAAAAAGGTAACACTCAACAATCGTCACAGCTTCTGCCCTGTCTGTACACCACCATAGGAATATATTGATGCTGTGTCATTCTGACGTGGACCACTACACCTTCTAGCTATCATGACTTGCGTCATTTTTTGGGAGCTGCAGCAGTCTGCATTAGTTTTGGTAACAGTTTCTGGACATTCTGGAGTAATCTGATGCCGTCCGATACTACGACACCAAGTGTGTTCAGTGTAGGTATAGACTGACATTTTTCCAGAGCCGATACCAATTATTGATTGCCACTGTACATTATAGGTTTTGAAAAAGCAACACAATTTTTACACAAATCTGGCATTAAATGAACATGCTGACAGCAATCACCTGGCATTTACACCTTGACACCAATTTCATCTTATTAAAGTGGTTATAGTGTACCCTGGTGCTGTTCCTCCATTTACTTTTAACCCCTTAAGGACCAAACTTCTGGAATAAAAGGGAATCATGACAGAGGTTACATTCTTTCTTAGCCATCCGAATTGAAACCATCAATGGATGGCTGTGATAGGCAGTTGGCGAACACTCTCAGCTAATCTTGGCTGCCTATTGTTACTTAGACTAATGCTGTACCCAAGCAGTACAGAAGGGACGAGGTTGTCAGAAATGATAGTTTTTTTTATTATTTCTTTATTTTTTCTGTTCATATTAGTACAATGAAGCTTGCAATACCACAACAGTAATAGCAAGCATTACAAATTCAAACATAGGAAAACACGGGCATGGTATTCAAAGAAACTGCACAAGTTTATGAAACTAAGATCTTCGTTAAATAAAGTTTTTTCGTTAGGCTAGTATGTCAATTATATTGAGTTGCTCTAAATTTATCTATCTGCCTGGATTTAAAGGAACACTATAGTCACCTAAATTACTTTAGCTAAATAAAGCAGTTTTAGTGTATAGATCATTCCCCTGCAATTTCACTGCTCAATTCACTGTCATTTAGGAGTTAAATCACTTTGTTTCTGTTTATGCAGCCCTAGCCACACCTCCCCTGGCTATGATTGACAGAGCCTGCATGAAAAAACTGGTTTCACTTTCAAACAGATGTAATTTACCTTAAATAATTGTATCTCAATCTCTAAATTGAACTTTAATCACATACAGGAGGCTCTTGCAGGGTCTAGCAAGCTATTAACATAGCAGGGGATAAGAAAATCTTAATTAAACAGAACTTGCAATACAGGAAGTGTTTATGGAAGGCTGTGCAAGTCACATGCAGGGAGGTGTGACTAGGGTTCATAAACAAAGGGATTTAACTCCTAAATGGCAGAGGATTGAGCAGTGAGGCTGCAGGGGCATGTTCTATACACCAAAACTGTTTTATTAAGCTAAAGTTGTTCAGGTGACTATAGTGTCCCTTTAAGTAATTTAGATTATAAGACAAGATAGTAATTTTGTTAGTCGAGGGAACAGTGGAGTTAGGCTAAACTAGAGTGAATAGGTTAGACTCTAAGTCAAGTTAAACCATCCGACAATGGGATTAGCAGTAACATTACACGCAAGAGGCCCCCTTACAGGTATTAAACACCTGGCTAGGACATTTAAAACAATCCCAGACCCAGTACAATAAGCTTTGGCAAATCAAGTTAAAGAAAAGCAGGAATAAAAGTCGAAGTTAGGAGGAATGAGAGTCTGCCAGTAAAAGTCACAGACTCCGGTTACCCAGTTCCCCTCTGGGGCAAATCATATTTCTGCTTTGGTGTGGCAGCTGCCATGTGTGGTCGCCCCGATGTTCACTGATGGTACAACAGGCTGAAGCATGGAGACCCCCACGACACTGCAGGTAGTCGCGAAGGAGCAGGATAGGATCCTTGTGCCGTCCTGATGGTATGTTGTGTCTGTACCCTGCATTTTTAAAGCGACCTGGGCGTCTCTGCTGTTGTCTGGTCTGTCTTGGGCCCGGAGCTGTCCTCATTTGCCGACAGTACAGCGGGTGCCTCTGAGGTAGAAGAGCCAGCAGCTTCCGTGACTCGCTTCTGCATCGGCGTTCGGCGATCTTCATCCAGAAGGTTTTGTTGGCTCCACCAGTGTTTGATGGTACTTTCTGTGGTTTGCACTTTAAGGCCCACTGCTGCAGTCTCCGTCACCTTTGGAGCCTCGGTCCGGTAGTGGTGGTTTCTGGTTGGCTGTCGTGACGCCAGGCTGCTTGCTGACGGTATATATATGTGGTTTCTGCCCGGATAGGTTAGTAATGTGTAGCGGGGCAGGCTGATGTAGCTTGTGCTCCAGCATGTTTTAAAGTGTTTGTTCAATTTTGTCAGGATGTCATGTACAGCGTCGGCGGGACCCTCGACACTTGCAGTGTCCGCCATCTTGAGTGAAACTCTGTGTGCTCTCTCTGCCATGTGGCAACATCTAACGAGTATTCGGAACTGCTGTCTGCCTCGCCAGAGAAAACCTTCACTCGGTGAGTTGCTTGTATTGCCAAGATTGTGCATGAGCTCTTGAGAAACACGTCTCATCGCCATGATGGTTAGGCACCACCTCACAGAAATTTGTTTTGTGTTAAATTTAAAAACGGTTTAACACAGAACAAAAGTATGGCATCTTCAATGAGATTAAGTTTTTACCGTGTCTAGAGTGTCCCTTTAAGTAGTTATGGTTTTCACAGGGGTCCTTTAACGGAACCATTACTTCTAAAAGGGGCAGTCTAAGCAATTTAAATACTTTTCATTACCACTTAGAATATCCTGAACCAACTCACATTATAAGAATGAATTATAACAGCAGCGATATTTCAACTATATAACCAATATTGTTGAATGGGTTAGGAGGTGGCTGAATGACAGGCAACAGAGGGTAGTAGTCAATGGAGTATATTCAAAGCAAGGTCTAGTTACCAGTGGGTTACCTCAAGGATCTGTACTTGGACCCATTCTCTTTAATATTTTTATTAATGATATTGCAGAAGGTCTTGATGGTAAGGTATGTCTTTTTGCTGACGATACTAAAATTTGCAACAAGGTTGATGTTCCAGGAGGGATAAACAAAATGGCAAATGATTTAGATAAATTAGTAAAATGGTCAGAGCTGTGGCAACTGATATTTAATGTGCATAAGTGCAAGATAATGCATCTTGGGTGAAAAAACCCAAGGGTAGAGTATATAATATTTGATACCATACTAACCTCAACATCTGAGGAAAGGGATTCAGGAGTAATTATTTCAGATGACTTAAAGGTAGACAGACAATGTAATAGAGCAGCAGGAAATGCTAGCAGAATGCTTGGTTGTATAGGGAGAGGTATTAGCAGTAGAAAGGGAAGTGCTCATGCCATTGTACAGAACCCTGGGGAGACCTCTCTTGGAGTATTGTACGCAGTACTGAAGACCATATCTCCAGAAGGATATTGATACTTTAGAAAGAGTTCAGAGAAGGGCTACTAAACTAGTTCATGGATCACAGGAAAAAACTTACCAGGAAAGGTTAAAGGAACTTAACATGTATAGCTTGGAGGAAAGATGAGACAGGGGGGATATGATAGAAACATTTAAATACATAAAGGGAATCAACACAGTAAAGGAGGAGACTATATTTAAAAGAAGAAAAATTACCACAAGAGGAAATAGTTTTAAATTAGAGCGGCAAAGGTTTAAAAATAATTTCAGGAAGTATTACTTTACAGAGAGGGTAGTGGATGCATGGAATAGCCTTCCAGCTGAAGTGGTAGAGGTTAACACAGTGAGGGAGTTTAAGCATGCATGGGATAGGCATAAGGCTATCCTAGACTTAAGATAAAGTCAGGGACTAACTAAAAGTATTTTGAAAATTGGCCAGACTAGATGGGCCGAATGGTTCTCACCTGCCGTTACATTCTATGTTACTAAATCCAATATTGCCAGATCTCCTTTTCCAAGATAGAATGTTTACAGTCATGTGATTTAATTCTGAGTTCCCAGAATCCTCGCTCCTGGTCAGGTGTAAAATAAAACCTTTTTTCTGCTGGTTAATTTTCCTATTAGTAATGGTTAGGTCCATGTTTAATTTCACTGATGGCACCATGGGTTCACATTTGTGTACACTGAATATTTCTGTTACTTCACTTGTGCTGATTTCCTCTGTTCAGTAACTGTTATTAGTCTCAAAGAACAAGCGGATGAAACCGAATTCAAT